TCCCCCTCTGCCTGAGATTCCTAGCAGGATATATATATAGGATATATATGTATATATATATATATATAACACACACCACACACATCGCGCCCTCGCTCTCATATATATTTTTTTATATAGAGAGAGAGAGAGAGAGAGAGAGAGAGAAACAAAGAAAGGAAAATGGATAAAATCTTTAACTTATTTACTTCAGTAAATAACAAGATGCATATTTTCTGAGTTAACACATTCCTAAAATAGATATGCACTTAAAAAACATATATTAAAAGAAATGTAATTAACACAAATTTAGGGGATTGAGTTAAAGTTCTGGGAAATGAAGACATCTGAGGGAGATCTTATTTTCCATTCACTGACATTAGAAAACATGGATAAGATTCCAAAGTCACGATAAAGAAAAGATCATAATCAAAATTCAGTGCCCCTGTCTGGCTTGTGAGCTGGCAAATCTCTTTTCAGCTCCCTTGGCTGCAGGGCGGGGAGGAGCTCATCTGGATATAGGATTGGCACTGAAGTCATGGGATTCTCAATCCCATGAATAGCACCAGATCAATCCAGGTTCCTGCCCACCAAACATAGCCAAAATTGTGAGTAGCAGAATTTGTGACAGGCTCTCTAGCCTCCTCTTGGGCTTACTTCCTTGTACATACTGGTGTTTTCTAGTTGGAATAGATATTTTTCTCTAGGAAGAAAGACATCAGATTACCAAACAAAATGACAGGTGTCCATGCCCAGCATGTGCAGCCAGCAGGCCAAAGAAGATGCTTGTGCATAGAATAGAAAAGGAGGAAAGTTTACATAAACATATTTCCCTAAATGTATTCTGAAGCTTAATGCCAGACCCAGTGAGTATATTAGAGAATTCAGGGCTGCACATGTATTGATTGCTTAGACAAAAGGACTGAAGGACTGAGTTGGGTCTGAGACTTGGTGGGGAGAACATGAGATAGAATGGATGGGAAGAAATGAGTTTTGGGGGGCGGGTGTTCCTTCACTCACCTTTATTCACACCTGGCTCAGTCCCACTCCAGACCTTTCCTCACTTTTCAACTACCCAAGTATAACTGCCTCCCCAAACCAGCTTAGGGCTAATATCCCAGGTTCAGGGGGTCTTGAGTGGAAATAAGCTTTGGATGAATCATGATCTCTGGTTTGATGGGTCTAAATGCTCCAAGTTTCCTAAGTGGTAAGCTTTGTGGCTCTCTATTTCAGATCAATTGTTTCCATGGAACATTATTTGGAGACTGATTCTAGGTATAATTCTGGCTCTGCTGGTGATATTTATCATGGTGCCCAGTGTTGATCTACATATCAGATTACAAGGTAAGTACGTTTGAAAGGCAGGAGATGAAAAAGGGGGTGGGGAAGCTTAAGCTGCAATAAGTTTAGTTAACATTCATTACTACAGTTTCAGAATTTTTTTCTTGTGATGAGAACTTTTAACTTCTACTCTCTTAACAACTTTCAAATATGCAATACAATATTAGCAACTATTGTTGCCATGCCATATATATATATATATATATATATATATATATATATATATATATTCCCATGAATTATTTAATTTCTAACTGGAAGTTGAGATGTATATCTATATCTATATCTATAGAGAGAGAGAAAGAGAGATATTATTGATTTCAGAGATGAAGAGGGAGAGAGAGAAACATTAATAACGAGAGAATCATTGATTGGCTGCCTCCTGCCTCCTACAGGGCCCCTAGTGGGGAAACAGCCCACAACCTGGGCAGGTGCCCTTGATGGGAATCAAACCTGAGATCCTTCAGTCCACAGACCGATGCTCTATCTACTGAGCCAAACCAGCTAGGGCAATGTTGGTATCTTTTGACTCCCTTCACCTATTTGTGCATTCTCCCATGCTCTTCCTCTGGCAACCACCAATCTGTTCTCTGTATCTATAAGTTTGTTTTTGTTTGTTAAATCCACCCAAGAACATTCTTTTTATTGATTTTAGAGAGAGAGGAAGGGAGAAGGAAAGAGAAACATCCATGTGAGAGTGAAACATGGATCAGTTGCCTCCCAAACATACCCCAATGAGGCATCAAATGCGCTACCTAGGTCTGTGTCCTGATTAGGAATCAAACCAGTGACTTTTGGGTGTACAGGAAACCACTCCAACCAATTGAGTCACTCTGGCCAGGGGAAAACTTGTTTATTTTATTTTATTTCTTTTAGATTCCACATGTAAGTGAAATATTACTGCATTTGTCTTTCTCTTTCTGATTTATTTCACTTAGCTTAATGCCCTCAAGTTCCATCCATGTTGACCCAAATGGCAAGATTTTATTCCTTTTTATGGCTGAATAATATCACATTGTGTGTGTGTGTGTGAGAGAGAGAGACACATTTTCATTCATTCATTCATTGATGGACATTTAGGTTGTTTCTATATCTTGGCTATTATAAATAATGTTGCAATGAACATAGTAATGCATATATTTTTAAGTTAGTGTTTTCATTTTCTTCAAATAAATATAGTCATACCTCATTTAATGATGAGGATACATTCTGAGAAATGCATCATTAGAAAATTTAATCATTGTATGAACTTATAGAGTGCACTTACACAAATCTAAATGGTATAGCTTACTATATACCTAGGCTATATATGTTATAGTTGATTGCTCTGTAGGGAAGAAAAACATCATTTTCCCTCTATCTTTTTTGGGTTTTGGTTGAGACATCGCAGTAATAAACACACACACACACACACACACACACACACACTTAACAGGAGAAAAACAAACCAAAGTTTAATAACATGTATACTTCTTATATACATGAGAGAGACCCAGGAAAACTGAGTAATTCACCAAAACAGCTAAAGCCAACACCTCAAATACCATCTTCAGCTGAAGACTAAAGAAGATTTGGGGGTGGGTTGGGGTTACCAGAAAATCACAGTAAGCAAGGATAAAGTTGTGATGCATATTTAAGTCATTTTCTTCTGCACTGATAAGCATTTCTAGAGATAAGGCCATCCCCCTTTTCCTGGTACAACTAGGAAGACACCCTTACAAATGGAGATTTTTTCTTGCAAATGTAAATGCATTTTATAAAGGGTATCTTCTACTTGGTTTTCAGAGCTTCTCCCAGGTCTGCTGTCTCTTAAAATTAACCAGCCTAAAATAATTCTAATGCCAAATAGACATATTTGGAGGGTGACACATTCTGTTCCCCTACAGCTGCTAGGCTATAAATCTGTATAGCATGTTACTCTATTGAATACTGATGGCAACTGTACAACACACTGGTAAGTGTTTATGTAATGCATTGTGTTACCACATTATGATGGCTAAGACATAACTATGAGATAGAAAACTTTCAGTTCCATTATAATCTTACTAGAGGCCCGGTGCACAAATTTGTGCACCAGTGGGGTCCCTCGGCCTGGTCTGCAGGGATCGGGCCAAAACCGATCTCTGAATCCGGGGTGCGAGTGAAGCAGATTTGGGGCAACAATGCCCCAGCAGCAACCTAACCCACAACTGATTCCGTGAGGAATTGGGTTTCCCCCTCTACTGGTCAAAGCATCTGCCCCCTGGTGGTCATTGCGCATCATAGCTACCAGGCAAACAGTTGAATGGTCAGACGGTCGCTTAGGCTTTTATATATATAGATGGGACTATGGTCATATAGATGGCTTGTTGTTGACTTAAATGTCTTTATATATGGCACATGTCTGTACCCAGAAGTTGAATTGCTGGATCATATGGTATTCCTAGTTTTAATATTTGAGGAACCTCCATACTGTTTCCAATAGTGGCCATATCAATTTAGATTCCCACCAACACTGTAAAAGGCTTCCCTTTTCTCTACATCCTGGTCAACTCTTGTGTTAAAGTAAGAAACATTCAAACCTGTGAAGAATTTTTTGTGAGTTTATTTGAGCCAAGTGTCGACAGTTGCCAGGAAGCAGAATCTCAATGGATTGAGATAATGCTCTGGAGAACGGCAGTTTTGCACACTGTTTTATACATTACAATAAAAAGAGGAGAAGCAATTGGGTACATGAAATCCATTGATGAGAGATTAGGGAAACCTCTGGGATTGGATAAAAAGTAAATGAGAGACACATACTTCTTTTACATAAGTGAGTACAGGATAGTTAACAATCAATAGTTAATAACACTGAGGGGATTTTTGGTGTCCACAGAGCAGTGTCTGTGCTTTGAGGGGTCCAAAAAAAGTAAAATTACTTTGACATTCCAAAGGTATGTTATCGTAGATGCAAAAAGACAATAGACAGGCTCACTTAAGGTTAAGATTGACCTTTGTCAGGGAAGATACCGGCCAAGGACATGACTACCCACCATAAACTGCTTTTTAGTTTAAATAGTTTTAATTTCAGACCATCCTTTGTGGTTATTTTAGTTCTCTGAGTTTGCAAGGCTGCCATGCAGGCCTTCCGTGAGTTCATCAGGTTAGCATGTGGCCCTTTTTCGTCCGCATTTGCTATTGCTTGTCGTTTAATAATAGCCATTCTAACAGGTATGAGGCAATAACTCCTTATGATTTTGATTTGCATTTCCCTGTTGATCAGTGATGTTGAGCATCTTTTCATGTATGTGTTGATTATCTGTATGTCTTCTTTGAAAAAAAAATGTTTATTCAGATCCTCTGCCCATTTTTAAAATGGATTCTTTTCTATTGAGTTGTTTGAATTCCTTGTATAGTTTGGATATTAACCCCTTATCAGGTGCATGACTACAGCTGCTGTAGATTCTGAGGCTCTCTCAGACCTTGTATGGATATACCTGCTCCACACTTGCACCCTTTTATGGCAGGATTCTTCAGCTTGTATATCTTCTCTTGATTTTACAGCACACGATGCTGGCTACTCTGTCTCTCTTGTTTTCCTGAAGGTGGCTATACAGTTCTCACTATCTCACACACCCTGGCCCACTTTCTGCTCATGCTCCTTATCTACTAGTACTTGCTCTCACTGCAGGAACAGGGAGCCAGCCACAAAGTGGAGGGAGGTGTGGATTTGGCATGTGGTGGGCTGGGCATGCCAGCAGGCCAGTTTGGAAGATCCTTGGGTTAGGCCTTCCCCATAGCTCATAGGCAGGCTTCTTGATGGAAATCCAGAATGTATTCAGCAAGAACCATATCCCATTAATACCCTCCTTAAATCTTATATGCAGTCTTCTGATCTGCTCCTTCCTCCATCCCCCCACTCATGGAGCTTCCCGTTGAATATAATAGATACTCTGAGAGATAAATGAGTCTCTTTGGAAGCCTCCTGTACAGCTGGGAAAGCCAGGCATTTACTCATTGGCTTTCCCACCACCCAAGGGAAAAAATCACAGCCATCTCTTTTAGCCCTAAGCTGTTCTTACTTGGAGAGGCGGTGAGCTGGTCCTCTTATGTACTCCAATGCATCCACATTTTTTTGCTCCAATAGACTGCTGGAACTTCTTCTTTGGAAACCTGGACTCCCACAAGGCTCTCTCTTAGGTAGCTAACCGCTTAAGTCCATGTTTTACATGTGTTTCAGAACTACAGCAGAATGGATCTTCTGTGTGTTCCAGAGTCTGTACCAAAGACTGTCTGCCTAATGGATGCACAGGTAGGCAAGATTCCTTCTAGGTGCCTTGGTGTATGGCCCTGTGTCCCACAACTCCCACTTCCTGTTGTAGATGGGTGCCAAATGTTGTTGTTGATGTGGGAGTCAAAAACAAAGGACTTGTTATGCCACCATAATGCTCATGAATCTTTGTATGTGATAATTTAACCACTAAGTAAAACTGTGCCTATAACTTTCCAGCAAAAGAATGGGCACCACCCGTGGTAGTGAGCTCCCACACCATAGATTTTCATGGGAAGACTAGATAGCCCATGATACTATAATGATATAGTTATAAATATATAGATATAAAATCTGATTTTAAACAATATGTTGTCTGACACCCTTTGCTGCATGAGATTCTTACACAGAGGTCTCCAGAGCTCTCCTTCTGGCCTCTTTCAAATCTGGGTAAAATGATAATGACCAGTGCACAACAGTTGTCTCATGCACATTGATTGATGGGCCGGATGGAGAAAAAGAAAAATGAGTTGCTTTTCTCCAGGTCTATGTAGCCTCAGCCAAAAACCTGTCCCATCCTGGAAACAGCTATGCTTCTTGTCCTGGTCATCAATACCTTTAGACCTAAGACTTTAGAACCTTTAGGTCCTTTAGATCCTTTAGACTGCATCTTAGTCCATTCTTTTATTTTCCCCTAGTCCTATTCTAAATTAATACAGAGAGATGGCATTAAAATTTAGCTCTTGCTTTCTTGGTGCATTTTCCCCCAATCCAAAGTACCTTCACAGCAATAACCAATGATTATTATATCTTTTTTTCTTTAGATTGCCTCCGCAAAATGAGAAACCCTATAGTAGTGGGCATCATAATAATCCTGCTTTCAATAGGTGTAATCGCTTCACTCATTTCTTATTTGCATCACAAAAGCAGAGGTATGTGGGATCAAAAAGGTGGAAACTTCCAGAAAATATTTCCTTTTCTAATTGCCCAGTCTCTGGTAAAATATTTAACCAAAGAAGAGTGGTATTTATTTGAATTATAGGAACAATAAACACTTGGACCTCATGTCACAGGATTTGGATGCCAGCCTTCTGAATTTCATGGGTTTAATGATACAAACTGTTGATGCTTCTGCCCCTTAGGGAAAGAAAATGTTTTCTTCAGTTTTATTAGCACCAGTCCTACATCACTTCACCTAAGAAAATATGCCAATTTTTTCCATACTTTTAGCCTAGAGGAGATAGTAGTGCAGTATATCTTAAACTTCTGGCGGTCACAGATTTCTGTTAAAGACTTATGTAAAGGACCCTCTTCTCAAAATAAATTCATATGTTCCCACATATATTGATCAATTTCATGGTGTGCATGGACACATGAAACTGATTTTCCTTCTCTCTGACTCTCTTTGAGGTTGAAATTATAAAGGTAATTGTATAAGTTGGGGATAGCTGAAGCTAACACATTTGACATGTGCCCTCAGCTCTTATCTTTGAGGTCCCCCTGGAAATTATATATGTAAGGCAATGAGCAGCAAGGTAAGATAATTCTTTGTTATAAACTGAAGATATAGCTATAGCCACAACATCATGATGTGGAAGTCATAAAGTGGGGCTTGATTATTTGGAGGATTTTATTTATTAATTTTCTCCTGTGAAATGAAGACACAAATGACCTTACATCAAACCAGACTGGAAGTGCCTTTTATACTTTACTCTAAGAAAGTCCATACCTGAGTCTGGCATATTAACCATGTTAGCAAACTAAATGTCACATCCATCTGTGTCAGAGGAAATAAGCAAAATGTTAGTAGTATATTACATACTTATTGTGTGCTCTACAGATTTTACATAGATTCATATATAGTTGACCCTTGAACAACATGGGTTTAAACTGTATGGATCAACTTATATGTAGATTTTTTTCAATAAATGTATTAGAAAACTTTTTGGAGATTTGTGACAATTTAAAGAACATTATAGCTTTGATGAACATTATAGCCTAGAAATATGTTTTAAAATAAGAAAGAATGCGGTATGTCATGAATACATAAAATATGTGTATATGATTTCTCTTCTATGATTTTCTTAATAGCAGTATCTTTTCTCTAACTTTATTGTAAGAATATAGTATATAATATATATAACATACAAAATAGGTGTTGATTAATTGTGTGATCAACAAGGCTCTGGTCAACAGGCTCTGGTTTTTAAAAATTGCTATTTTTAACTGCTAGGCTATTAGTAGTTAAATTTTGAGGGACTCAAAAGTTAAAAGCAGATTTTCGGCTGTGCAGAGGATCTACGTCCCTAACCCTCGAGTTGTTCAAGAGTCAACTGTACTTACTCTTCACTGAATTAGATTTTATTGGTGATGAAATCTGGTACACAAATAAGTTAAATAGCTTACTTACACAGTTAAGTGATGGTGGAGCCGGGATCCCAGCTCAGGAAATTAAATCCTTCAGCCTTGTTTCAACAATTTTATTGTTCCTCTATGAAAAGAAATCAAATGGAAATAAAAAGAGAGAGATTTAGGCCTAGTCCTTTTGTAAAAATAGATCACTGCAAGGAAATATAGCCTGGGCACTTAGTGATTTATGAGGCTTCCAAGAGATGGCCCATAGCCCCAAGAATAGGCTGCAGGTCTCTGTCATTGTCAAAACTGACTTGAAATCCTTAAGAATGAGTCAGGAGATTAAACTTTATTTTTGCTTGTTCTTCGCTGAGAACCTAAAATTGAGTCATCGCAGTGGTCTCTGCCCACATGGCTGACAACTTCTGATAATTAGGCGACAAACCTGGTCCATCTGCTAACCTCTTCTCCAATTGCTACTGACCCTTCTCTTTACCTAAAATGGACTTTCTGCTGAAGATATTGCTTCCTCTGTAAACGTCTCATTTAGCAGCCTCCCACTCTATCTTGCCTTTTCTGGACTAATTTTCCTTCTTGGTGCTTATCAATTCAGAAATCACTTATCAATTCATTTAACAAATATGCATTGCCAGAAAGTTCCACAAGCATCGTATACCTTAATTCTGTAACATCCTATGCAATGTCTGTCATCTTTTCCATCTTGGAAATGCAGATACAGAACATCAAATGTGATTCACTGTTTTCAGTTGCTCTAGCATGTAATAAGATTATTCCTGGGATTCGAACCATGTGTCTCTTATTCTGAATTCTTTATAATAAATCAGATTGCTTTCCAAAATGTAGGTAATTGTTTCTTCCAGAAAGAGGTAGCCAGCATTTGCATCTCCAACAGAGACATTCTGCTGGGCCTGTTCTCTGTGGAATTCATGCACAGTGAAACCTTCGAGATGTACACCATTTCTTTCCAAGAATCAGTGCCAGACTACAGCCAGACTTCCTTGGTTATACTATTAGCTATTTGAACTTGGCAATGTTATTTATAAAGTCTCTGAACTATAGTTTTCTTATCTATTAAATATTGATGATACTGTATACATACTTTATAAGGTTATTTTTTTATTAAATTTGTCAATACATCAAAATCATTTAACCTGGCTTTGCACATAGTACAAGCAATGTTATTGTTTGCTATTATTATCATTATTATTAGCAATTGTTAGAAATTCTACCCTGGATCCCTTTCTGGTGACCTCATCTGGTAGGAAAACTGGGCTGCCTGTGTTTGCCATTCTCCTTCTTCCTTTCCCTCCTTAGCTCATATCATTCTGTCTTCACTTACACCCAACCATGATCTTAACTTGCCTTCTAAACAACAGACAACTCTAGTCATATAGAAAGAAAATAAAATAAAAACTCAGCTTAGATTTAAACACACACACACACACACACACACACACACTCCTCTAAGTAAATATTATTAGCATCATTGGACTATTTTATTTCCAAGTTTTTCTTCAAATTTGTTTCAAATTATTTCCTATGCTTTATGAGAAGAGGTTTGAAGTTCTCCTAAATGTTATAGTTAGAAAAATAGATGTATGTGACCAAGAGAGAGTTTGCTGACACTTCACTCTTTTGCACACTTACCCAGATCAATTTGGCTATTTTAAAAAAAATGTATGCTATTACTTTTATAAAAGGAATCTCTGACCTTAGCAAGGGCAAATAATTTCTCTCGCGTTATAGGGTCGGGGGGAATAGATATTAATTACTAGTAGGTGAATTCTTTCCCCTCCATTTGTGTAGTCTAAGATCATATGGAATATTTTGACTTATTTATCCTTATGATATGAAGGTTGAGACCAGCAATCATAATACTGCTAAGTCTTCTCTAAAGACAATATTATCAGTTATTTCAGTGACATGAATATAAGACTTCCTGACCCATGCTTCCTAATCCTCACCATCTTGGTTGTCTTTCTCTACAAGATAGAAAAGTTGTGGGAGGAAGAAATTATTCCCTACCTTTCTAAGTTCTTTCAGCTGGTATAATAATTAAATAGACATGAGACAGATTAATGGGACAAATAACAAAATTTAACTGCATCTGTGTATACAAGAACCTTACTCATATAAGAGAGTCAGAGAGCCCACATACATGAGGTTTCAAGACAGAAAGCTAAAATGAGGTGTTTATGACATTCTGAGCTAAGGAATAAGGCAAGAAGGGCAATTCACAGAACAATAATAAGAGCGGCTGTTCATTAATTAGAAGTTTGTCCTGCCCTATAGATCTGTCATATAAGGTTATCTCTGATAATAACTCATATAATGGACAAGGACCCGATTTAAATTTTTTAAGGGAGAGATAAAATTATTTGTTGCCTTCAGCTCAAAATAATCCCCAAGCCTAATTAATATATACTGGGGAGGCCTGTTCTGAACCACTTCACTAGGAATCCATGAACAATCCCATCGGGGAGGCAAATTACAGTTTATATAGGAAAGTAGGCATAGCTGTCCAGTAATGAAACAGATACCCTCACTGTTGGTAATGGTGCTCCCATCCCAAGATATATTAACCAATATTATGAGATGGGGATGTTTTCTACTTTAGAATCACCAAAAAGTATACTTTAAAGGAGACTTCTGCTCCAGATAAGAGGATGACTTTTGAGAATTGTAAGATCTCTTCCACCTCAGAGATTCTGCTCATTGTAAACTATTTTGTTTCACAATACCTCTCAAAAGGTCTGGAGTTCTTTTTATAAAAAAATTTTTTTATTGACTTCAGAGAGGAAAGGAAAAGGAGACAGAGAAATAGAAACATCAATGATGAGAGAGAATCATTGACCTGCTACCTTTTACTCGCCTCCTACTGGGAATTGAGCCTTCAATCTGGGCATGTTCCCTGACTGGGAGTTAAAGCAGAACCTCCTGGTTCATAGGTCAACTCTCAACCACTGAGCCACACTGGCTGGACAAGGCCTGGAATTCTTGAGGGCCTACAGCACCAGATTAAAAAGATGAAGGCATTAAAAAAGATGAAGACATAAAGTGTCCATTTATGCTTCAAACTGTGGCCAACTAGAAAACAAGTGTCATGCTTCTTGAATAAAAGAATGTGTATCTGTGCCTACATGCCCCTCTTCCAGACTGAGCCCAAGTATACTCATCTCCAGGATCATCCACAGGGCCCACCCTACTTCTCCCCACCCTCATATAAGCCCAGAAGTATGGAAGAATAGGGACTTGAAAAGTAAATCTATTATAAATCTGTGACCCTCCTAATTATTGCATCTCTCCTCAGTTCCTGCTTCAGATCCACATTTCCAATTGGATACTATGTGGTTGGAAGATATCACGGTGATCCTGTGTGTTCTGACTGTCTTCATCACCATGATCATTTCCTTTATTTACTTTAGATTCAGAGGTAAATGGGATGGGAAGGGAGGTAACTCAGAAGGTACCATTCACCTGACTGACCTGCAGATGTCCCAAGAGGTGACCTTTCCAGTCCTTGTGCCTTAATAGCTGGAGGAAGAAAAAAAATCTATGCCCTATGTAAGGCATAGTCCTGATTGTAGACTCCTGGAGTTTCTGCTGGTGTTAGTGCCTCAGATTTCAATGCCAGTCAGTCTGACTTCATGATGTGACAACTCTCTTAGTAAACTTTGAAGGCCCCACTATTTTATCCAAAAACACTCACTAAAGCTTTCTGTATCCTGAGCTCTTCATAAACCAGAGGTGCTTTCTTCCATTTAGATCTCAAAGGCAGAATTGAAAACTTAATATTATAGTTTCTCTTTCAGAAACTTTTAAGTGCCCACAGAAGCTGGACCAGAAACATTTCTGAACCTATGTTCACAGGAGGGCAAATAACTTTGAAACATCCCTAACTAATGCCTAAAGATGAAAGTCCTGGATTTATTGTGCTAATATAGACTTCTTATGAAAATGAAGGAAATGTAGAATTAGTCACTAGGAAAGAAAAATGTAATACTTGACACTTGTGTTCCACCAGTGAAATCTACAATCTTAAGAAGTTCCATTTAAAAAGGTAGGCAAGGCTATGCAAATATATATTTTTGATTACCAGCAGATCGCCCCTCCAATATATAGAATGCAGATCCATGGTGGTTATTATGAAAAATACAGAATGTTTATGGTTTTAAAACTTGGGGTTTATTTTTTTAATATGTTTTTTATTGATTTTAGAGAGGAAGGGAGAGGGAGAGAGAGATAGAAACATCAATGATAGAGAATCATTGATTGGCTGCCTCCTGCACACCCCCCACTGGGGATCGAGCCAACAACCCAGGCATGTGCTCTGACCAGGAATTGAACCATGACCTCTTTGTTCATAGATCTACGCCCAACCACTGGGCCCTGCTGGCTGGGCAAAACTTGAGGTTTTTAAACCACAACATCACCTACCTATACACTGCTGTTAAAGTACCTCATCCAATTGTACCACCAGAGAGTGACCCCTACAGGCCCTCCTAATTCCCGTCTAAGTTAAGATCTCTGTTATAAATTTTGACCTTATAATTTTTACTTAACCAAAAAAGACTCATACCCTAGAACCACGAAGAATGGGTACTTCTCTTCATCTTTGCATCCATTGATTCTTGCCTTTCCCTGTGGAGAGCTGCTGGATGTTGAGGTGGTCAATTAGACTAACAAGCCAAACTGAAAGTAATAGCCAAGCCTTTATCCACCTGTTATGTTATAAGAAGCCAAAAAGTAAAGTAGTGCTGGCTCCTCACTCTTCCATTTGCCCCATGGAACAGCACTGGACCAGGATCAGGTGACATGCAGTGCTGGTGGGAAAATTGTGCCTCATTACAAAGGAGCACTGAACAAAAGGCTTTGCAATTTTATGGAGCTGGAGTGGGGTGGAGTAGGAAGAGAAAGAGAGGCAGAGATGACTGGGAATGGAAAATACTGAGTCAGAGTGAAGAATGTTGTAGTCAAGACAAACCCTCCCCCCACCCCCAATAAAAAGATTTCAGTAAAGGTGACTGGAAAGGATCTTAGCTGAGGCCCCCAATAAGGTCTCCATAAGGCCTCCTGGGCAAGGAAAACAGATATGCCCCCTCGGGATGGGGGATTGAGTCCTTGACTGCAAGGCATTGACTGTGCACCAAGCCTGATGTGGAGAGGACAGCCTTTCCACACAGGGCCTGCTAGGCAATGCCTTTGCAATTTCCTGTGGTCAGACACAAGGGATCACACAGTCAGACTCCTCACTACTTCTATAATGTTGAGAAACAGTTTGTTAGTTGAGATTAAACCAATGCAAGGGACAAGTGTGTGCTTCCAACAATACAGGTTTATGCTTCTCATTCCTAGTTTCTGCTACCAAGAGAAACTGCCCAATTATTATCCCTGCATCCATAGGTATGGACTAATGATGGGGAAGGTAGTAAGGAGCCTGTAGCCAATTTATTCCACTGAGTCTGGTTTACTTATTAACCCAGTGGGATTAAAGCAGGGTTAGAGTCAAGGAGAAGTTTTACTGTCTCTCACAGTGGAGGAGACCAGTCTTGCTAAGAAACAATCCTATTTTCAGGTTCATGGGGCTGTAAGCACATTTATTGATGCTGTGCCTTAGTATCCTATTGAGACCAATGAAAAAGTTGATTTACCAACTCAAAGACTTTATCAAGTATCCAGAATTCTGAAAAAAAAAAAAAGATCAAGACAATACATTAATTGATTTGGACTAGAGATTATACAATGCAGTGAACTAAAAAGACTCAATTTATACTATTTACCATCATTTATACTCTACTAATATGTCTTTTGTTGCTAATATTATGGCGTTTGATAGCAGCAACCTCATGATAGCCTAGCCACATTGAAAATGGTCAAACTTGAAATTGAAGTGCTCTAAACTAGTGGCTAGATTTTTTAATTAAAGTAAAAATCATCAATCACCTCTCATAATTAAGTCAATTTTATTTTATAGACAAAAAATCTATAAAACATATTTTATACAATTTTTTAAATATTTTCTTTAATTCTACCAAGCTTGTGTTAGGGTACTATGATTATTCCTATTCCTTTTTTAGTAGCTATTTTCTTTGCCCATTTGTTGAATGGTCTGAGCTTTTTTCCTATGTTGAAAGTTGATTATTCCAATTCCATGTCTCTCATGTTTTACAAATTTCCAAGTTCCAGCAAGTTAAGAGGATGCATAAGAATATTTAGAAATATTTAAAAAGAAAATCCACAGACTCACTGCAACTTCTCATGTGTCTTGTGACATACACATCAGTTTTACTGTGCAATAGCCTTTTCAAAGCAAATATTGATTTACTAGTATCTGAGTTTGAGGGTGTAGAGAAAGAGGGAGAGGAGAGGTGAAGAGAGGAAGCGGACAATTCTTAATTAAATTTCACTAAGTTATCCATTTACTTCAGTTGCAAAGAGAGAATATGCAAATTAAATCAGACTCCTTTCAAGATGCCTTTATTTCTTGTAGACTTCCACCCTGCATAAATTTCCCTCTCACTGATTTAAGCTAGAGAATTCAAGTTCATGACTTCTAAATAAATTGTTTCTCATGGGTTTTCCAAAGATGTCTTTGACATCTCAAAGGAGGTACACATGTTCCCAAACATGTTTTCACTGAACTATTTGTCTTTAGTAAGATGTGAATTTATATTTTCTTGACAGGTGTCCTAGAAAGATAGAAATTAAACAAGCATCAACCATCTCATCTGGAACTCTGGATAAAGGTATACAGAGGAAGAGGAAGCCTTCGTGGCAACTTTACAAACTCAGAGACCTAAAATAACCACAGAGGATGATCTGAAATTAAAACTTTTAAACTAAAAGCAGTTTGTGGTGGGTAGTCATATCCTAGCTAGAAATCTTCTCTGACAAAGATCAATTTTCACCTTAATTAAGCCTGTCTATTGTCTTTTTGCATCTACGATAACATACCTTTGGATATGAAAATAATTTCCTTTTTCTGTACCCCTCATGTTCAGGCACCACTCTGTAGAGACCACAAATCCCCTCACTGTTATTGAGTTAATTGTTGACTGTTAACTATCCTGTACCCACCGATGTAAAAGAAGTATGTATCTTTCATTTTACTGTCTATCCAGTCCCAGAGGTTTCCCACTTTTCTTTCTCCTGCTTTTCAAATCTATCACCAGTGGATTTTATGTAACCCACTCACATCTTCTCTTTTTATCGTAATGTATTAAGAAAGGTGAAAAACTGCCATTCTCTTGAGCATTTTCTCAATCCTTTGAGATTTTGCTTCCTGGAAATTGTTGATAGCTCACAAAAATTCTCTAAAGGCTTGAATGTTTCTTACATTGACAGTGGCCCTACAATTTTATATATAACCAAGTAATTTCCAGGTGGAGGGCAGATAAAATATATTCAAATTTGCATTTCATTTGTAGCTTTTGTACAAACTATGAATTAATGCAGAAAAGATGAAAATGTAATCAGAGGATAACAAATTAAGGGAATAACTGGAATAAAATCAATAATCTACATGGTAAAATGGAAGTAACTCTGAAATTAAAAATAAATCTACATCAATAATTAAATGCCATGTCAAGCAGTAAACAATTAAAAGAAAACTACTCTCAAATTTATGATATTTACAAGAGACTTAACTAAAGCATAATGGCAGAGAAAAGTGGAAAATACAAGGATACAAAGACCAAAACCATACACTTCTACCAAAAATATATGTGGAAAGATATATTTAATATTGGGGGGAATATAATTAAAAAGAAATTAGCAGGGATAAAAAGTCACTGACAAAATGAAGATAAGGACTATATACTGAAACTTTCTAAATATTAGTGTACAGTACATATACACTAATAATGTACTCTTAAATTTATAAAGAAAACACTTAAAGAAATGCAAGTCCAATTCTATAAACATTGAAAAAGATTTTAATATGCTTCTGGCACCAGGAATTGGCAGATCAAACAATAGTACCTGCTTCATAGGTTCCTAATGATGATTACCTAATTTAATATTTGTGTAGCTCTTTTCTCAGGATATGGTGCTACAGAAATTTTATTTATAAAATAAAATAATATGTGAAAAGATTCTTAAAAGTCATCATTCAGGGTAATGAAATACAATATAATGACACTTCATCTTACCACTGACAGACTAGTAAACATTTAAAAGAATTAAATTTTGATGATTATTTGTGGAAATGGGAAATCATACATTCCTGCTTTGAAAATATATTAGTAAAAAACACTGAGAGCAATAATAGTCAACAATTTAAAAATTATTATAACATAAAAAATGAATTAAATTTTTATATTTCCATTTGTTGTAGTTCTGAATGAAATTAGAAAGAGCAAGAGCAAGACAGAAAATGATATCCTTGTAATTAGCTAGTCTATACAGTAGGTCCTCGGGTTACATCGGAGATCTGTTCCTACGACGTAACACAATTTTCACTGTAAGTTGGAACCCACCTACATAAGCACCTATGTCACTCACATGGAGCACATACACAGCAGTAATGAAGTGAAACAGTAAAAAAAAATTAAAAGAGAGAAAGCAATTCCTGACCTTTTCTTGTGGTAAATAATAAAAAACATAAAGCAAATATGTACATATGTTGAAATGACAGAATTTTTTATATGTAAATAAATGGGAGATGGCAACATAACCATGAAACGATGTACATTGAGTCTGACGTAACCCGAGGACTGCCTGTATATATAAAAGCCTAAGTGACTGAATGACTGAACAACTGGTTTACTGGTCGCTATGATGCATACTGACCACCAGGGAGCAGATGCTCAATGCAGGAGCTGCCCCCTGGTGGTCAATGCGCTCCCAGAGACCATGGAAGAGCAGCAGTGAGCCTATCAAGCAGTAGCGGCAACAAGTGCAGTGGGGCAAGGGTGAGCAGGAGTGGCAGGCAGGAGCAGCAGGAGGCATTGGACAGCTGGTTTTGGCTGGATCCCCGCAGGCTATGCTGAGGGACCCCACTGGTGCACAAATTCATGCACCGGGCCTCTACCCAGCGTGTGAAACTGCACAAGACTTAGACCCGCAGTGCTGTGAGACCCCAACACTCTGCGCCGCGGGACCCATCAATGCACCTCCTGGTGACCAGTAGTTTGGTAGTTACGGCGTTATGGCGTTACAGTCACTGGCTTTTTATAATATAGACTACGGGCCCAGTGCACAAAATTCATGCATGGGGGGGTGTCCCTCAGCCCGGCCTGCACCCTCTCCAATCTGGGACCCCTCGGGGGATGTCCGACTGCCAGTTTAAACAGGCAGTTGGACATCCCTCTCACAATCTGGGACTGCTGGCTCCTAACCACTCGCCTGCCTGCCTGCCTGATTTCCCCTAACCACTTCTACCTGCCAGCCTGATCACCCCTTAACTGCTCCCCTGCCAGCCTTATTGATGCCTAACTGCTCCCCTGCCAGCCTGATGGGCCCCAACTGCCCTCCCCTGCCAACCTGGTCACCCCAACTGCCCTTCCCTGCCAGCCATCTTGTAGCAGCCATATTGTGGTAGCCATCTTTGTGGTGGCCATCTTGTGGTGACCTTCTTTGTGGCAGCCATTTTATGGCGGCCATCTTGTGATGACATGAGGGTGCGAAGACCACCTAGGCTTTTATTAGTATAGATAGAAAAAGATCAAAAGGGGGCAGACTTTTTAGGCATGTCATCTGGGCAGCTTCACCAAGAAGCTATAATTTCACACTCCCCAGGGTACCACCGGCCATTCCCTGCAGGTCACTGATGGAAGGCGTCCAACAAAGGGGAGACAGACACATGCACAGTGAAGTTGGTATTTTCTGTCAATCAAACCTGGGAACAAAGATCTTTGGCCAGAGTGGGGGGAGCTAATGCAAACCCATGAAAATTTGGGGATACATAATCTCCCAAACAAAACAAAAAAAGCACTATTGGCTCTTGGCGCTCTTGGCTTATGGGGCTCTTGGCTTTTGACTTGTGGGGCTCTCTTATTCCTACTTTGTTGCATTCACCTGTGTTTCCTTCATAGCCATGTGGCCTTGTGGACCCCACATGCAATAGACTAATGGATTGCAACTGGGAACACAAAGTAAGCTAGCTTGATGCTGGATTGGGTTGCTCCAACATGGAACGGAAGCTCTGGACACTGGCTCTGATTTTAGAACTGCTAAAGACAAAATGGGACTTCTTCCTTGAGGGACCTGAGGGAAATGGGACCTTGGGAACTCAGGGGTTTGATTCCACAGAAGTAACGCTTTCTACAGTATCTCATCCTCTAATGCAAGTCTCAGGAAATTTGTTTTCTCAGGATACTGCAAGAAGCCCACTCCCATGAGCAACAGGTGGGGATGAGGAGGACCTCTTCCCACCAATAACAAAAAAACATTATTTTCAAGGTGGAAATAAAATTTATTAAATAAATAAATTTCCTTTGAATAGCATAAATATATCTTAAGCAGATGCCATAGTCCAACCAGACTGCTATAACAAAATGCTGTAGACCAGGTGGCTTATAAACAACAGAAATTTGTTTCTCCCAGTTCTGGAGGCTGGGAAGTTCAAGATCAAGGATCCAATAAATCGAGTGTCTGCTGAGGGCCCACTTTCTGGTTTATGGACACCTGTCTTTTTGCTGTGTCCTCACATGATGTAATGGTTGAGGGAGCTCTCTGGAGCTTCTTTGATAAGGGCATGAAACTATTCATGAAGGTTTTACTATCATGACCTATTCATACCCTAAAATCCCACCTCCAAATACCATTACATTGGAATCTGGTTTCAACAGTTGAATTTTGAGGGCAGGGGGAAACAAGCATTCAGTCTGTAGCAACAGATAATTTTAAAACATGAGTACACCTTAGAAAGAATAATTCAAGATTAGCAATAGTGATATAAATTTGAAGTAAAATAAAACAATGATATATGAAATATATACTTATAAATACATGAAAACACATAATATCTACAAAAACAAAAACTGGACATCAAATTCCAGATAGCTGTGTCTGGATAAATAAATAAGGACAAATATTTATTAAATATTTGTCTGGATTGGCAAATAATTTAATACTTTAAACAAAGAGTTACACAGCAAATTATAACCAGTGCATAATTTAGCTTATTGTTAGTCTTATATTACAAATTGGAGAGAATTTGTTCAAGAAAATTTACTGAATCTTATTAAATACAGTGGGAATCTGCTGCATTTTAGCCAAGGGATGCTCTCAGCTTCCACATTAGATTATCAGGGAGATAGACTTTCTGAAAAACTAGAAAACTTGAAGCAGAAATACTGGCCTACAAAAATTCAGGCATTGACTGCACTTTTCACATGAGGGTAAAGGTATAGCCTTGTTTTTAATTTGATTCAAGAGCCAGGAAATCATGGTGTTTATAAATATCTTCTTAAACTAAAGTAAAATCTCCCTCACTCAGACTGTGATATAATTGTCTTTATTTAACCTAAATTTTAAAGGTATTGTCACCTAAACAAAATCCTAATTGGAACTTTTTTCCTTCCAAAGTGTCAAATAGGTTATTTCATTGTTTCATACCCTTTGCATTATATGTTGAAAAGTCAGTGATCTGTCTTATTATTGCATCTGTGAAGACAGTGTATCTTTATTAGATTTCTTTAAACATTTTGCTTCAATTTTGTTTTCATAGTCTGTTTATGATGTGCGTGATATGGTTTAATTTATATTTATCCTGCTTGAGTTTCACATTCCTCATTTAATACATGAATTTAAAAATGAAATTCCAACCGTTATTTCTTCAAATATTTCTTCTGCATTATGTTATTTTGCTTTTGAGTGTCTAGTTATAGGTATGTTAGATTTTTTTATTGTTTCTCTTATCTCCCAATGCTTTTTCTGTATATTCTATTTTTCTTCTTTTTGTTCTTCAGCTTGGACATATTCAATTATAGAGTCTCTCAGTTCACAAATCCCTGTCTCATATGCTGCTAAACTCTTCAAATGAGCTTTATTTTTTAAGTTCAGAAGTTATATTTTATTCTTATAGAAATACCAAGTATTTTTCTTAGATTCCACTTTTATGGTAATGTTATGTAACTCTTCCTCATATGTTAGAACAAATCAATTATAGTCCGTTAAAACTTATCAGCTAATTTTACTATTTTAATTGACTATGTTAGGTCTGTTTCTATTGTCTGTTTTTTCTCTTATTTTATGTTCAGATGATTTTGTCCTTTATCAGATATGAAAATTTTGATTTAAGGACATTGTAATAGCTTTATAATTATTCAACTTGTCTAGGCTGAAATACACTTTCCAGAATTCCCTTTCTTTTATGTTTCCAGGTTAAGTGGGTTACAAGGCAAATGCGCAGTTAGAGCTGCAATCGCTCTACTTTCCCATGAATTCTCCTAAATCTCTGACTCCTAAGCCAAATGTATGTGTAAACACTGTGATGATGAGCCCTAGATTCTGCAACATAGTCTCTTCAACAAGGTCAGGAGAAATCATCCTGAAGTAGTCAGAAGCAATAAGAATAGATATTGGTTTCACTCTATGTGGGAGTAGCTCATCCATGTGAGTTCCTCTCTATATGTATCTTTGCAAATGAGATCCATTCTTCTCCCTCTTCCAGTACTAGTAAGGGAATGCAGGCTAATATTTGCAAGGTAACCACTGAGCTGAGATGCAGAATATAAAAGGGTAATTTAAAAGGCTGCAAAGATCACTGTTCTTATCTAAATTCAGATATTTTTTTCTGATTGTTTCCACAGTTATTGCAAGCTTTTGGTTAGTTTCCAGAGTTCTGATAAAAGTTGATTTCTGACATATTTTTTCCCAGTTTATTTATTGTTTTATAGAGGAAATGCATTAGTCAGCTTTAGGTGCCATAACTAGGTGACTTAAATAACCAACATTTATTTCCTGAAAGTTCTGGAAGCCAAAAGTCCAAGATCAATTTGTAGTAAGGCCCCTCTTCCAGGCTTGTAGGTAACCATAATCTCGCTGTCTGCTTTCATGACCTCTTCTTTGTGCAAACACACATACACACACACAGAGAGAGAGAGAGAGAGAGAGAGAGAGAGAGAGAGAGAAGAGCAAGTTCCCTTGTCACTTCTTATATTAAGATGAATTCTATCAAAATATGCTGAATTAGCACCTCAAACTCCACACCTTATTTAACTCTGTCATTCAATGAACTACCTATTAGGGTGTTCCTAGTTCTGATCCAAGCATACAGACCTCACAGTGGACCTTTTCAAATTACCAAGAACTTAGAAGAGAAGCAAGACTGCTTAAAAACAAGCCAGTGTTACAAAATCTCTATTTCTTAGCTTTACTCAGTGTCCCCCTAGTGTACTTTCTCTTTTTTTTCTAAGCCCCAAAAGTTAACTATCTTAAATGGGCAATTTAAACTCCACATTCTCTTGCCCTAACCGGTTTGGCTCAGTGGATAGAGCATCGGCCTGCGAACTCAAGGGTCCCAGGTTCGATTCCGGTCAAGGGCATGTACCTTGGTTGCGGGCACATCCCCAGTGGGAGATGTGCAGGAGGCAGCTGATCGATGTTTCTAACTCTCTATCCCTCTCCCTTCCTCTGTAAAAAATCAATAAAATATATTAAAAAAACAAAACTCTACATTCTCAAAAAATATTTCTTTGAGGTATTAGTTCCACATCACCCTTTTCCTTCTCTGATATTTTGAATTAAGGTACAATAGTTCACTCTCTTAAAGTCTTATGTAAACACTTACAATTGCTTTGGATTATTTTGCACTGAGATAGACAATTGTATCATGTCCAAATGTATTGCTTTTTTCTATACTTTATACTGGGTTACGTATGTAGTCATCACAAAAATACAAATTACCCCAATAAGATAGCACTGCATGCCAACCAGAATGACTAAAATTTAAAACACTGACACCTATTATTATTATGTACTAGCAATTACGTTTTCTGTATAATTACTAGTAGTAATGTAGTTATACAGCTATTATTTTCTAGGTATTTATTTCTCCATCCTTTTACATTGAAACTGCCTTAATCATTAAGTTTTAAGCATATATATTAGAGTTCTCCAGAAAAATATACCAAACAGAAAATTTATTACAGAAATTGGTGCATGTGGTTTTGAAGAACAAAAAAATCCCATGATCTGCCATTTTATCACTAGAAAACCAGGAAAGTGGGTGGGTAATTCAGCAAAGTCTGAAGGCCTGAGGACAAGGGAAGCCAATGGAATAACCCCCAGTTCAAGGTTAATGGCCTGAGAACCAGGAAATCTGATATCCAAGGGAAGGAGAATATGGATATCCCAACCCAAAAGGGAAAATAAATTTGCTCTTTCTCCACTTTTTTATTCTATTTGGGCCCTCATTGGATTAGATGTTGCCTGCTCATATTGGTAAGAGCAATCTGTTTTACTCAGTCTACTGATTCAAATGCTAATCTCTTCCAATAACATCCTCACAAACGCAAGTTGATGCATAAAATGTTACTTATTTACAGTTCTTTTTTAAAAAATTAAATTTATTGGAGTTATATCCTCCTATATGATAAAAGACTAATATGCAAATTGTCCCCTCTACCAGGAGTTCAACAAGGAGTTCAAGCAGAGGGCTGACTGGCCAACTGCCCACGGCCCCTCCCCATGGCCCTGCCCAATGGGCCCTGATTGGGGCGGGCTGGCAGGACCCCACCTGTGCACAAATTCATGCACCGGGTCTCTACTTGGTTAATAAAATTATATAGATTTTAGGTGTACATGTCTATAATACACCATCTATATATTGTATTGTGTGTTCACCACCCCAAGTCAAGTCTCCTTCCATCACCATTTATTCCCCCTGTACATTTATCTTTCTTCCCCAACCCCCTTTTCTTCTGGTAATCACCATAATTATATAGGTTTCAGGTGTACATGTCTATAATACACCATCTATATATTGTATTGTGTGTTCACCACCCCAAGTCAAGTCTCCTTCCATCACCATTTATCCCCCCTATATCCTTTTCTTTCTTCTCCCACACCCCCCCCTTTCCCTCTGGTAATCACTGTGTTGTTGTCTATGTATGAGTTGGTTTCTTTTGTTGTTGTTTAATCCCTTCACCTTTTCACTCAGTTCTGCAACACCCCAACCCTTTGACAGCTATTCTCTATCTATAAGTAAGTTGACATAAAATTAAATAACCATCACAGCCTATGTCATGAATCAAAAATCTATTATTTTGTAATTTTATCAAATGTTAGTCTCAGTTTAAAAATGAGAGGTTTAAGTCCATTTATACAGCTGATTATGGTACATTGGAATTATTGCAAAATTTTATGATACATTTATTTGTTTCTTAGCTTATCACTTTTTCTACATCTAGATATTCTGTTGCTTGAGATTGCCAGGGCCAGCCTGACAAGGTTGAGCCAGGCTGAGGCAAGGAGGTGGGAATTGAGAAAAGAAAGAAAGACAGGAAAGCGGGATCGGGAGGACTCCAGTTCTCGAGGAACTGAAGTGAAGTTTATTAGCCACACTATCTTATTTATACACAACACACTGAATAGGAGGTCTGTCAAGAGGAATGTATTCTTTGTTCCTCTTAATCTCTAAGGGAGAGACACAGCAGAAGGACAAGTTCTCAGTACAGCATATCTCAGTAAATAGTTACAGACTTCTTGGTAAGCCATGAAAGGCTGTTCTCATTCTACAAAGGTTGCTCTCATTCTACTGATAATCGCCATCCAAACAAGTCTGGGAAAACTGTGTGGGTAAGGGTCCCAGCCTTGCTAGCCCCTTCAGGTGCAAGGACCTTGCCAGCTTACATCTGGTCCCCAACATCAGATCTTAATTATGGTGTGATTACATTTGGCCTAGGTACTTTCTCATGTAAATTTACAAGGAAAATACATATGTAATAAATATACTGAAAGACTACAAAATATCTGAAATTTTTTATTTGCTCTCACACATTATAATTATTTGTCTCTGTAGAAAAGTACAGGTCCTTGGTCCAAAATGCCTTTATCTCAAAGTTTACATTGCTGGTTCTACTGTCCTCGAGTGTCCTGTGTTTCAGATGAGTAGTCAGATGTCCATTCTTGTGAAATATCTGTTAGGGAAGCAGTGACTCTTGTTATTGAAGGTACATGGATTCAAGTCTAGTTAAACTTAAAATATGGGGAGGAGTGCATATCAGAGACCATGACGGTACTCATTGACATTCACAGGACAACGAAAATCAAAACCAAAATCTACATTTTATAGACAGAATAAAATTGGAGAAAGAAAAGAATGTCTTTGATTGTAATGCTTTTTAGGGTTAAATTCTATAGCAGAAACCAATATCAACAATCATTTTAAGGTAAATTACATGTATCATTCAAGAACTTTGAGTGGGTGAAGAGATACATACAGAGAAGCCAAGATTTTGGCTTAAATATCACACAAGTCATAAAATTTGAGCACTGCCTACTATTAGCTAAGGGAGTGGAATCTCTTCCAAGATAGATGTAGTTCAAATCCACATTGGGATAGTTAGAATACATTTGTTAAGGGAGTTAAATGGTTTGGAAGTGAAATATTAACTCAAATATCACAGCTATGACTCATTCCTTTGGCATTGCAGTTCTAGAAAAGTAAGCCTGACACCTTTGCAATTGCTTGACTTAGAAACAATTCAGGACAAGACACATACTTTGGCCCCTTTCATAAAAGAAACCCCCCAATTCAAGGGCTTAAAGCAGTAGTGGGTATTTGGACACCACCAAATTATGACCAATTAGGAATTTATCTAATTCTCAGACAGAAGGAAAAGCCCTGAGCAGTGGCAAGAAGGAGAGGAAATGAGCCTGTATTAGAATGAGTACAGCCCTTCTCTGGCTTTTATGCTGTTACTTCTGCTCTTTTCTGTTGGCAGGGACTCCTACACTGAAATTGCTCATTGGATGGTATGCTACCTCTTCCTGTTCTCGTGCCTTCATTATCATCTCTGGCAGGAAGCAGAGCCTAAATATAAACCTCTCTTGGGGCAAACACACATTTGTCCGACCTTTCATGCCCTTGTCCTAATTTCCTTTCTGATAGCTTGCCCTATTTGTGTGAGCCATCCTTCACAGTGGAAGGTCAAGTCAAAGGGAAAGTCTTTGCTGAACTTACAGATCTAAGTTATTTGGTGCCATTTTAGTTTATGGTCTGGGGCTTAACTTAAATTTAAACAGCAGTAGGGCCAATCTACACTTAATCGAAGTTTAATTCTTTTTTAGAGAAAGTTTTTAATACTAAGGAGTGGCAATTTCCCTAGCCATGTCTATGTTCACCATTTCCCTTGGGATATTGTGGGTGTAATACGTGGGTAGTAAATAATAACATGCAGGCATTCAGATTCTATAACTTCCCAAATGGCTTCACCTTTTTCGATTCCCAATACTAGCATGGGGAGAAATGCTTACAAAAAAAACACTAAAATTTAGGGATCTCAGACCCACATCATAGAAAAAAAAACCTCTAGAACTAAATACCAAACTTAAGCAAAATGAGAAAAGTTGCAATCAGTGGGATTTTTCTCAAAGTTTTATTCACAGGCCTGGAAGGGCAGAGTATGCAGCTTAGATATGGTCTCTATTTTTTCTCACTATGTGACCCCCAGGTCCCTAAATGGACTACATTCATTTACTAGTCTGAGACAAGAAAAATGATTAAATAATTAATTAGGATTTGGAGCCACAGCATTCAAAAAAGTATAAAATAAGTCTGCATTGGTTGCTCTGGCTCTTAGCCTATTACATCTGCTCTTTCTATTTGCTTTTATTGACTTTTACATGGGAATTGCTTATGATATGGATGGTATGGTACCCCTCCCTATACATGTGCCTCCATTACCATATCTTTAGTTGAAGGAAGAGTTCCATCGAAATGTCAAAGGGAACCTCCCTTGTGAATCTGCAGCAAATTTTCAACAATTAATTGGTCACCAGCTAGGCATGGTTGGGCTGAGGTCTTTCTCTGGTGCTGCCCAGTCTTTAATGTAAATGGTAAAGCCCCCATTCCCACACGAATGTGTTCTATCAGTGAAGGAGGATTTGGTAATGTAATGGGATGAGCATTTATCAAGGCATGAGGTAATTGCTAAAATGTTCCCGTTCTGCTTGCTGATGTCGAAGAAAAATGTGGATATCCCAAGATGCCATTTGTTTTCAGAGCTTATATGACCCTATAACAGAAGTTTCAGAGTGCAGGTTAACCATACAAGGGACTCAGGTGGAGGTGGAGATGATAATATCATCAGAACTCCCACCTCGCCATCTCACTTACCTTTCAGGGTATAAAGGAGACCAAAAATGAGTAGGGTGAAAAATGCCATCAGTGAACTCAGGATCAAAGACAAATCACACATCCAAGTACTATAAGGATATGCTGATTAGCCAATGGGAAGGGTAGCGGTCGTACGCCAATTACCATGTTTCTCTTTTATTAGTGTAGATATTAAAAACAAAACCAAATAGAGACTGGAAAATATGCACAAATAAAGAAAACATATCCCACTTAATAAGGGAAGGAGGAGCACTGACAAAGGAAAATCTGCCTTCTAGCCCTCATTTACTTGTGAGTATTTTTCCTTGCCTAATTTGGAATTGCAACTCCAGGCATTATGACGGGATAAGACTTGGTAGTTTAGATGAGCCAGAGGGTGCATGGAATTTGGGCTGAGCCATGAGTGCACACCACGAGGTGTCTACTCATGTATCCATAGGTAACTGAGAACACACTCTCATTTGTTTTCATACCCTTGGTTAGGAGCTGCAGAGGCAAAATGTTCTAGAAGCATCCTAGAGATAATAAATTGGACATCTGAGCATTTGGATAAAACAAAATTGTCTGTAATTGCAGCTAGGTGATGGAAGACTAAATTTGAATATGCAATGTGTACTGGATATGACCATGATATTGAAAGAGTTCAAATTCAATCCGCTTAAGTAACAAATGGACAAATGAAGATAAAGGAGCCATGATACTAAATTTAAGACTGTAAAATGTTTTCATTGCGATGAGGCCCTAGAAGGACTAGACAGAAGTTAGACATGGTAGTTTTCATTTCATTAATGTAAAACATGGTCACTAAAATGTAAGCTCCAGAAGGTCAGAGCCTTTTAATATTTTGTTCATTGTTGAATCCCCAGTATTTAGAAATGTGCCTGGCACATAGTAGGCCCTTATTAAATGAATTGAAACTATAAAGACAACATTCATCAGAAATCAGAAACAAGTTTAGATACAGTGGGGCCTTGACTTACGAGTGTCACGGCTAATGAGTTTTTTGAGATACCAGCTGTCTCTAGGCAGATTTTTTGCATTGAGTTGACAGAGTAATTTGAGTTAACGAGCATCTTAATGAGCTCCTTAACGAGCTTGGTCTCGGAACGAAGTAAACTCGTAAATCAAGGCCCCACTGTATTTCAATTAAGAGATAAAATCTTATAAAACACCCATATATATTTCAAAAATTGAAAGAGACAATCCAGAAAATATCTGCAGGCCAGAAAAGAAATTTTTTTTAAGTAACATGAGAAATAGCACATATGAAAAAGTCTGGCATGCAAGAAAGAATAAAGATTAAAAAAGTAAAAATATATGGATAAATATAAATAAACTAGAGGCCTGGTGCACGAATTTGTGCACAGGTGGGGTCCAGCTGGAAAGGCCTGCCCCAATGGGGGCCAAACAGGTGGGGGGGGTGGCTCGCCCCCAACCAGGGTGGGGGTGCCAATAGGGGCGGAGCTGGCTGGGAGGAGGGGCCATGGGAGGTTGGGGGCGGGCCCTGATCGAGCAGGTTGGCCACCACAGTGCACATCATAGTGACCAGTTGTTCCAGTTGTTCTGATCGCTTGGCTTTTATATATATAGATAATGCTATATAAGACAATCTTAATATATAAAGAGGTAATATGCAAATTAGGCCCAGACGCCATAACAGGATGACCCTTTACAGGGTGGGCATGGCTTCAGGGCTGGGGATGGCACTCCAAGTCTAAGAGCCATTTGTCCCATCCAGGCAGACTCCTTCTGTGGCCCGCAGCCAAATCCCAAGGCAGACCTGGGGTTTGCTACTTTACTGGAGCTGCTCCCCACACCCCACCCCCTGCCCCAGGACCCCGCTGCCCACTGCAGGGCGCCCCGGCAGTGTCCTGACAGGCGGGCAGCCTGGGAGTGCCGGGAGAGCCCAGTGGAGCAGGCGCTGCAGGGAGCCAAGGAGGGGCAGGGCAAAGGAGCCAAGCTCCCTGGGGTCTGAGGAGAGCGCCTGAAGGAAAAGGAAGCTTCGGTGGGCGAAGCAGCTGGCCAGGAGCCACAGCCAGAGGGGCTGCAGGTGCACAGACAGGCCCCGCCTGAGGGGCGGCTCCCAAGTGCTGTGGCTTTGGTGAAGCAGCTGGCCAGGAGGCGGGCAGCCCAAGGGGCACAGAGCGCAGAGGCGGGGTTCGGCCGGAGCAGGGGGCCAGCGGGTGGCGATCTGCCTCACTGGAGGGAGCGAGGTTCTGCAATGGCCCCAAGATGTGGGAAACAAGTAGCTATTGACTGCATGGAAGGATGCCGGGGTGGGGGGCGTGGACCCGCAGCCCTGAGGCGGGGGTTGAGGGGCAGTGCCACCTCACTGCAGGGGTGCTGCGCTGCCAGTTACCCCACTATGGCAGTTCGGTGAAGCTCCCGGTGCTAACTGGGCCTCGCCACGGCCTGCGCACTTGAGAGACCGCCACTCCTGCTCCCGCCTTGGCCCAAAAGCAAGCCCATGCCTGCCCCGCCCCCAGTTCCTGCCCTGCCCCACTGCGGCACATGCCTGAATGGTGAGTGCGAAGCCTACCACCTGCTCCCGAGAAGGGAGGGCAGTAAAGAATGGGGGCGGGGAGCGGGGTAGAGGAAAGAATGTGGAGTATCCACGATGAAGAGTTGCTTGAGAACGAGGCTCAGAGCCTCATGGGGAGGTTTATTCTGTTTGCTCCATGGCTGTCCCTTAGGAAAGGTGAAGAGCATAGGTGTGAGGGCTCCCTGCGCACTGAGTCCAGTTCCACAGCCAACTGGAATTGGCCTCAGTTTCCTGGTCTGTAAAATGGATTAAGCTTGTCCCAGTGCCTTCACTGAGCTTTGAGGGCCAATTGAAATACTATATAAAGAAAATGAGTGAAGAAGTGAGAAAGAAAAAGAAGGGCGAGCAACACAAAAGAAAGATTGGAAGGAACCTGAAAACCTATTGTCACTTAAATAGGGAATATAGTCAACAGTGTTGTAATGACGGTATGATGCCAGGTGGGAACTGGAAATATTGGGGAACACTTTGTAAAGTATATGATTGTCTAACCACTATTCTGTTACTAATATAAAACCTGAAACTAATACAAAATAATATTGAATGTAAAGAAATGATAATAGGAGTGAAATTTTTATAAATTTCAAAGTTTAAACAAAGGCTGTAAAGGAAGGAAAGGAGAGAATAAAAATGGTGTTTTTCATTTTACCACTTTATTGTCTTTTCAGTACATGAAAAAGACAGTTGTCTTTATACGGTGCTTGTATACTTTTCTAAGTCATTATCTCATTTGATATTCAGGGCAACTTAGGCAAGATAATTATTCCCTCCACTATTCAAAGAAAGGAAATCTTGGTGTCTGAACCCAATGATTCAATCATCAAGCCCTTATTGTAAAGCAGGGTTAGTGAAATTTTCTGTGAAGGGTCATATCTATACTAATAAAAGCCTTGGGGGGTGATCAGGCTGGCAGGGGAGTGGTTAGCAGCCAGTGGTCCCGGATTGTGAGAGGGATGTCCGACTGCCGGCAGTCAGACATCCCCTGAAGGGTCCGAGATTGGAGAGGGTGCAGGCTGGGTTGAGGAACTCCACCCACCCCCGTGCATGAATTTCATGCACTGGACCACTAGTAATTATAATAATCTTGTATGAGGCTTAAATAACATAGAATTACAATCTCTAATAACCATAGTTTATAACTCCATGGAGTTAAACATTAATAAGGTGTTCCAGGTACTTTTTTTCTTACTCTAAATATTATTTATTGTGCATGTATCTTGTGAACTGATTTGATTATTTCTGTTTCATAAAAATAAACTTTGCACATATACCAATGTAACAATCCCAGAATATTCTACATTCTAGAGATTAGCAATTCCACAAAAGCAACTCTGAGAAGGTGATGATTTAGCTTGATTATATCCTGATCTTAATATTTTACAAGGGTATTTTTTTCACTAAGGAATAGAAATCTGGATTACAATGTTTGCTAACCAGTTTTTCTTTGTCTTTTTTTTCTTCACACCTTGCTGTATTATATCAACAGAGTGCTTTAAGATTTTGATCTTCAATTCAGTTATGCAACATTTTACCATCTCCCTTTGTTCTCTAAAAAGAGTGTCATAAAATACATTCCCTTGGAGGTGATATCTATATAGCATAACTTTTTTCTTTGTATTGCTACTCTGAGGGAACAGGGAAGGAAATGTGTCATCACACATTTGTTATTTTCAATTACAACTTCAAATGTGGTATTTTATAAGAATTATTTACCCTTTTCCCCATCAAAGTTTCAAATCTCCCTGGTAGTGAGCGTGACATATACCTGAATCTCATTCCACTTTCCACTTTTCACTGTTACATAGGTAGCTGGGATATTCTAATAAAATCTCCCAATATCTACAGCATATCAAAGAATGATAAACTAATAAAATGTCATAGTTACGTCATTTGGGTGATAAATATATATGAAAGTTATTTAATAATAGATCTTATCACACAAAATGGTTTGCTTGAAATATTTTTGAAGAAATTGTTTATCATGCTAAAAATAAATCAGTTTTAATGTCAATACTCTTTATAACTAGAGGCACGGTGCACAAAAATTTGTGCACTCGGGGGGGAGAGGGGGTCCCTCAGCCTGGCCTGTGCCCTCTCGCAATCTGGGACCCCTCAGGAGATAACCACCTGCTGGCTGAGGCCTGCTCCCGGGTGGCAGAGGGCAGGCCCAATCCCTAGGTGCAGGTCCTGGTTGGGCTCAGAGCAGGGCCAATTGGGGAGTTGGGGCGCCTCCCCCTGTCATGCACAGAGCAGGGAGGATCGGGAGGTTGCGATGCCACCCCTAGTCACACTCAGAGTACGGCCGATTGGGGGGTTGGGGCACCGCCCCCAGTCACATTCAAGGCACGGTGGATAGGGAAGTTGTGGCGCCACCCCCTGTCACACACAGAGCAGGGCCAATCAGGGGGTTGGGGCACTGCCCCCTGTCATGCACAGAGCAGGGCCCATCAGGGGGGTTGGGGCTCCGTACCCTGTCACGCACAGAGCAGGGCCAATCAGGGGGTTGGAGCGCTGTCCCCTGTCACGCACAGAGTAGGGTCAATAGGGGAGTTG